AAGTCAAGGGTCAAAGTCAACTGTAGAGTCAAAGGTACCGTGCCCAGGCCCTTGGTTGGATACACTAACTTGTTGTGCGCAGGTACCCAGACAAGGATCCAGGCCGAAGGGAATTCAGTTTCAGGCCAATCGGGGCCTTTGTTTGCATCAAGATCTGGACGGCTAAAGGTTGTAGCATCCGGGGTCCAGACCCCGAGTCACAGCTACTTAAGCGTTGACCTCCTTGGCTTTGACATTCATTCTGTCTTGCGTTGATGTTGACTTCATGCGTTGACTTCAATGCTGGCTCAACGCTGTGACGCTGGCATTTTGATTCGGTGAGGCGCTGCTGGTCCGGTATGGTGGCGGGCTTGCACCTGTCTTCTTGGCATGTGGCAGGTGCCATGCACTGTTGCTGATGTGGCTGCTGCCACGTGTATTGTTGGCTGACGTGGCTGCTGCCACATGGTCTTTTGTTGCTAACGAGGCGAAGCTATGTGACTTGTATTGCTGTTCTGATTATTGCCATTCGGGAGGAGATCGGGACTCTGGAGAGATCGTGGATACGTACCTGGTTGTCTTCATGTTGACATTGCTCCAGCACTGATGAGGGACTGACTAGACGCGCCACGTGGCACATTGAGGTTACTTTGGATACTCGTTCAGACTATTGATTATTGAGGTGGTAATTGAGGAATTTGAGGAGGCAGCCCGAAGCAGGAGAGGGCCTTGTATTTACTTCCTCTCCTTTGTCTAATCTCCCTCCTCTCTCTTCGTCTGTGCATGATTATCTCATCCCATTCTGTCTGGACACGATGTTGACTATGGGTAATCATCAGCTGGTTGACATTCATTGTTGACTACTGTCTTCACGATCTGGGTTCATTGCACTTACCGCCTATACCGGCGGAGGTCCGTGTGAACTGCTGAATGAGTGCACGTGTGAACTGGTGAAGGAGTGCACGTGGGCCTGTGTGTGCGCGTGCAGTGTGTGCACCTCACTGTGACCGTCTGCCAGTGTGTGTCTGTGTGTCTGTGTGTATCTGTGTGGCAGCGGCCGGCCGTTCTGTTTTCCCCTATTGTACCGCAGGGGGCAAAACCTGTTTAAGCGGCCCATGTGGCTGAATGGTACAGCATTCATTTGGTGATGCTGGGCAGAGCATGAGTTGGAATTCTGATGATGGCCTGGATATCGTATCCATCTAATAATGCTATCGCCTTCCCCCAAGCATGACGCATATGCGTTGTATTCGAGTTTTCCAAAAAAAACGGGTTTTTGGAAAGTTGACCCTTTTCTTCGAATACAAGGGTACTTCGAATATAACGCATACGCGTTATATTTGAATTTCACAAAGAGTAAATTGCTGTCTTCGAATCTAAGTTTTTCTTTTCACCCACCTCTCTCTCTCTCTCTCTCTCTCTCTCTCTCTCTCTCTGTGTGTGTGTGTGTGTCTGTGTGTGTGTGTGTGTGTCCTCTGCTGTTGGCAAGAAACTGCCCTCCCTGCCACTGACAAGCTGCTCTCTCTCTCTCTCTCTCTCTCTCTCTCTCTCTCTCTCTCTCCGCCTGTGCGGGAACTTCCCGGGAAGGCCCTTCTGACAGCCAGAAATGTCGCACAGCCAAGAAAGTGGAAAAATCACAAGGCCACTCACCAAGGTGTTGCCAGAACATGGAAAGGTAGGTGGTCCAGAACTGAGCCTACTCAGCCTGGAGCCTACTCAGCTTGGAGCCTACTCAGCCTGGACCCCACCTCCTTGTGCAGGTAAAGTTGGTATAGTTCACTCAAACATAACGCATATGCATTGTAAATGAATACAACGCACGGTATGCGTTGTATTCGTTTACAATGCATATCCGTTGTGTTCAGGGGCGGACGGTAGGGGATCTACCACATCTAGCAAATAAAGAAAGGCGGACGGTAGGGGATCTATCACATCTAGCAAATAAAGAAAGACATGCGTTCCTTCGTTTTGTTGTTTGTTTGTTTGTTTTTTAATTTTACTTTTTTTAAACTACATTATATTTTTCTTTCAATTTTTTTAGATAATTTGCAAAATACCCTAATAAGTTGAGATATATGCCGAAATGCCCCTGAAAGTTGTGGGTAGAGCCGAATGCCCTTTTGGCCGAAATCTGTGTTGTGTCCCTGTCAGGTGGGTGTGCAAGTTTGCAATAGGGACCTCCCCGTTTGGCCCTTGGCGTTCTGCAATAGCGCCTAGGAGAAGTTGGCAAGTACTGGGGCATTTTGCAAAGTTGGACGGTACCCGTAGGAGTATATTGCAAAGACGGGGTCCAACTGATGCCAGGGGTATTTCACAAAATATGTTTTTTGTCAGAGGGGCATTCCACTCTACCCACCTTTAGGGGCATTTTGGCGTATATCTCAACTTATGGGGTTATTTTGCAAATTATCCACAAATTCTTTCATCTTTCATGACCTAGTACCTACCACTACTTTTTTTTGTCTTTTTTTTAAAACCATTAGTACCTCTACCAGTTCTGGGAAATTAGAGGAAACTGCCGGTTCCCAAAGAATTCGGGAATTTGGAGTGGGACCCAGGATCGGCAAGTCCCACAAAGTTCGTTTTATATTGCACGTGCATGAAAAAAAAAAAAACACCGGAAGATACTTTTCTCTACTGCAATGATGTCGAGCAGGGTAGTCTAGGAGGCTGTGTTCACAATAGTCAACAAAATGAATCTTGCAGCTAAAACGGTGAGATTCTGAATGTTGTTGGTTTGCTTTTTTGTCTTCTTTCTCTCCTCATTCTATTCGTCCCCTGCCAACGAGGCAGGGCGGAATGTGTGATCTGGTCAAACTGTGTTTCCGAAAGGGTTGTAACCCTGATCACACTGACACTTAGGCTACAAATCCCCCCCGGCCGACGGTTGCTGCGGCCGCGGTCATGACTGTGACTACGGCGATTTTCGTGGCCCCGTGGTGGCAAGAGGGGGAGGGGGTTGGGGGTGGGGGTTGCGGATTGGGGTTCCGGAACCCCGACCGTACCCCCTTGATGAAAAGAAAGTAAAAAGAAAATGTTTTGGGGGGGGTGGTGTTTGCTGTGCGAAAAGAAAAAAATAATAATGAAGGAAAAAAAAGATATATTGATTGGTTGATTTATTTTTGATAACTCAGTGCTTGTCAATGATTGATTTATTTTGTGATTGATTGATTGATTGGTGGGGGAGGGGTCCTCCCTCCCACCCCCCGGCACACACACACACACAC